ACCAGTGGTTGCAATCGTTTTTATATGACGCAAAGATGGTAGCAACCATCATCAAAAGTTGCAGCCGGTATCCTTAACACCTCCTCCTTTGGATTACAAAAGACAAGAATATCTTTACCAGAATATTCGACCATTTGTGAAAGATGAATACAAAGACATTACTTGTCCAAGACCATTCTATACTGGCAACAAATAAAATATTTAGAACAAAACACCTCCATTACTTTATCACACTTGTTGATTTGTCCTTTATTGTCATTAAGTTTAATATATTTTGATTTTTTGACAAATATTGTTAGTTTTAAAGTAAAAAAAGTTACCAAAATAATTTATATACTTAATATGCACTCATAAAAAGGATATAAGTATATTAAAAGAATAATGACAAACCAAGAAATAATTTTAACTGAAAAGGAAATAAGAGAACTAATTGGTAGTTTAAACTGAAATCCAGATGAAACAGAGATAAGAGCAGTTATAGATTATTTTTGACTTCGCCCTTATGCATTAAAACACTTAGAAGAAAAAGAATTTAGAAAAAGTTTTGTTCACCTTATTTACATGCATAAAAATGCAATGAATTGATGAGTAAAAGCTGATAAAGAAGTTAAAAGTTTACAATCCTTAACAACTAGTTTAGAGAAAGAGAAGAATGAATTGCTTGAAAAAACTAAGCAATTAGAAGCAAGAGTAGAAGAAAAAGATAACATAATAGAGAATTTAGAAGAAAGAGTAGACATTGAAGTTGAAATGAACTTGAAGCGCTAGACAAGTCCAAAGAATATCATGATAGAAATCTTTTCTTATTAGGAATGTCAAAGGACACTATTATAACCAATTTGAAATTAAAAATTCAAGAATTAGAGAAGAACCAAAAAGTAGACAGAGTAAAACAATTACGAAAATTAGAAAACAAAGCCAAAACAAAAGTTAAGGAAAGAGTTAAAAAACTTAAAGAAAAAGTTAATACAATCAAAGAAAATGTTAAAGAAAAGTTCAACACTTATATTTTACAAAACAATAAATAACTATGAAATTAGAATACAGAATTTTAAAAATAGCAAAGGATAGCATAGAGAGTTGCAATTATTGCCCATTATATGTTCATTATGGAGAAGACATTACTTTCACTCCTGCTACCCATGAAATAATGGCATATGATAACAATGGAGATTGTGCTGATATTGCTTCCATCTGTGATAATTGTAAAAAAGATTTTGAAAACAATAATCTTTCTTATTGTGAACTTTGTGGCAGATTACAAAGAAATAGGAGAGGTTGTTATTGTAATCTATTGAAAGATGGAAAATTTAGAACACTTTCTGCAGAGAAGGGAACTTCCCAAACTATCAAATCTCATTTAGCAAAGGAAACCAAAGAACTTGAAAGGAAATTGAAAAGTGCCAAGGAGGAGTTGAACATTGAAAGAGAAGAAGTAGCCAAGTTTCAGGAAAAATCAGAAGAGTGAAGTAAAAAGCAAAAACAGGAATTATTGAATAAGATAAAGAGTTTAGAAGAAAAAATTAAGCAACTAGAAAAGGAAAACAGGAAATTAAAAGATCAACAGAATGGTCAATTAACTGCTCAAATTGAAGTCAAAGAGACTAAAAGATGATCTTGATTGAAAACAAAAAAGTAATTTAAAAATTGAGGAAATGCTTTCCTCTTATAAACTGAAATTTACTCCAACTATCAAAGAAAATGGTAGTTATTTTCTTTTTAAAGATTTTTGCTTTTTATTAGATAATAATGCATCATCATGATACTTTCTTTTTTTAACATTTATTATTTTTCTTTCTTCATGGTAAATTTCATAGATAATCTTTTCTTTTCTTAGATAAACTTCCAATGTCTGAGTTTCATTTATTTTGAAAATGTAAGGAGCGATTTTTTCACCTTGTTCTTTTTTTAAAATACTTCTGATAGTACTATAATTCTTGGGTTCCATGGTAGACCTAATGTAAATTAGCTTCATATTGTTATTTTTATATAGAGGTAATTCTATATACCACTTAATATTAAGAAAAAACAAATATAACAAATGGGGGATATTAATAATCACATTACTAAATTTTGATCCCTGAAATTCTTGGTAATACCAATGTTCACTTTGTCTGGTTTTGTTGCAGTATGCCCCATATTATAATAACTTATCCGATATTAATATCGTGTAACAAAATTTTTTAAATGGATTCAACAATTTCGGAACAATATTTTAACGAAAATGAAAGACTATTAAATACAGAAGATTTTTACGATGTAAAAATATATCTTGGTGCAGAACCAAACATTAAAGAGATCCATGCACATACATCTATCATATGCGCACATTGTCCATTTTTTAGAAATGCATTAACTAATGCAACAAGGAAAAACGGTTATTATATTATTGAAAAAGCCAATATTAGTGAAAAAGCTTTTGACCCTATTCTCAAGTAAGTTTAAAATTATATTATTATTGCCATTAAGTTAATTAATTTAATATTATTGAGTTTATAATAATAATATTTATTTATTTTGAAAGATTTTTGTACACATGTAATATAGAATTAGATGATTATACTGGAGTTGATATTTTGCAAATATTAATTACAGCTGATGAACTTGGTCTTGAATGGCTTTACAATTATACAATGAACTACTTTATTGAAAATCATGAGGATTATATAGAAGAAAATCCAGTTCAAATTCTACAATCAGTTTATTCTAACAAACTATTTATGGAATTGGAAAGTGTCTTCCTAAAGAAATTTTGTAAAAAATTATTTGAGTCAAGTGAATTTAAATTATTAGAAAAACCAACTTTATTGGAGATTCTTAAAAGGGATGATTTTTGTGTTGATGAAATAATTGTTTGGGAAGATATCCTTAAATGGGGGTTAGCAAGACATCCAGAAATTAATAACAGTGAAATTAAAAATTGGTCACCACAAAATTTTGTTGATATGGAAAATACATTAAAGGAATTTATTCCTGTAATAAGATTTCAGGATATTTCTAAAAAGGATTTTTGTTCTAAAATTATTCCATATCAGAAGCTTTTTTCAGAGTTATTTTGGAATAACCTTTTACATTGTTATATAATGGATGCTGATCAGCAAACTTTGAATTTATTACCATCAAGGAATCCAAACATTCCAAAAATTCAATCATTAACAATTAACAATGAGCTTATTTTGCTTTTTGCAAGCTGGATTGATAAAAAAAGCCCACAATCATTCAGAGATCTTAAATACGAATTTAAACTTATATATCGTGGCAGTAGAGATGGTTTAAATCATACTAAATTTCATCGAAAATGTGATAATATCAATAAAACTCTTGTAGTTGGCAAAATACAAGACTCAGATCAATTAATAGGAGGTTATAATCCACTTAATTGGAATTTAATTAATGGAAAGTCTGTATATAAAAATACAACTAAAAGTTTTATTTTTAACATTATTGATAGAAATGATCTTAATACTGCACAGTTTAGTTATGTTATTAAGAATCATGATAAAGCAATTCGCTGTCAACCTTTATCTTTAGCTGTTTTTGGTGGTTATGATCTTAGCTTCAAATCAAATCATACTATTGCGGGAAGTCCATCTTCTTATATTAACATTAATATAGTAGATGATAGTGAATATGATGAATTAGAAGTATTTCAAATAATTGATAAAGAATAAAATTAGAAGTATTATTTTATTTTACTAGCTTAATATGGATAATTAAAGATTTCAATATTCTTCCCTTAATAGTCATTTAACTCGAATAAATATAAAAATTTTTTTTCATATAAAAATTCAATATCTAGTTCGCATTATTTAGAAATGGAATTTGTGCTCATTCCCCTTTCAGAGATGTCTCCAACTCCAAACATTTTTTGCTCTCCTAACCCATTCAATATTATTAATTCAATTAATAAATATGAAATATCATATTTTTGAAAAAGGAAGCCAACTGTTTATTTTTCAAATGGAATACTTGCACTTGGATCAAATTCTCTGTTACTTTTTCTCTAGAGTCAGCAGCAAGAAGTGTTGTTTCTAAAGTTTGCTTTTTCATAAATTCTTTTTTTGAGATAGATGCTTTTTCCACCACAATGAGCATCTACTGTGATTTATGCACCCATTTGATAGAAAGGACAGAATAATCACAGCATAAAAAGCACCATGATTTTCTTTTGCTCTTGTGTGTAAACTGTCTCTGCTAGTTTTATCGAAGACATTTTGAATTTTTTATTTTATTTTTGTTTCTTTACCTATGCAACATGCGAAGAACTATTATCTTGCATCAATAAAAACATTGTTTAGATTTTTGTTTTACTTGATTTGTCTCAAAAACAATCTAAATAAACGCTCATAACTCCATCTTGTGTTTGAACATTATAAAAGCAACGAGCGCAGTACCTTTGGCAAAGGCAATAATAATAAGCCACATTTTAGTGAGGTTACGGTTAATAAAAATAAATCGGTCGCAAGTAAATAATAAAAAGGAACTTTATATAAGCTTTCGTAAAAGAGTCATATCAATCTATTTAAAACCATAACGAAGTGTAACAAAATTAAATAATTAAATGAGTGTCATATTGATATCGCCTTTGCAAACATATAAAACTAGCAATTCTCATGCGTAACATCCCTCATAACAAGGTCCATTATAAACGAGGCAGTAAGCAAGAACCCAAGTAAGTTCGTAAACTAATTAATTGACAAGCACTAAATTATTGTGCATTATTTGACCAAATGTTAAGCCATACTTGTTAAATACATTTTTAATGTTTGAGCAATTATTAAACTTTTAATTCGACAGATTATTTAAACGCCTAGATAATCAATTAATTAATGATATTTGAGCAATATATAGGATCTGATGACGAATTATGATGCCTGAGATCATTTCCCATTACGCCTCTTTTTGAGAACCAAGGTTGATTATATGAGAATGATGAACTTTTATTTAAGCTTGTTAGCACACATATAGCCATAAGTTGGTTAACAGGTTTTTACGTTGTAACAATGTTTTTCTTGATTGTAAAGCATGACAATATATATCTTCAATTCCAGATACTTCCAAGTCCCATGTTTTCCTAAATAGTCAATAACTTATTCCATTTACCAACTATAATAAAACCTGGTTGTCTGATTACATCTTTTAAAACAAAATTATCCAAATAAAGAATGGTGCCTCTTTTCACTAGTAATTATAAATTCCTTAAGGACTGGTTTTCCAAGCCTGTGTTTCGTCATACATTTTGCGATTTCATCAGGAAATCTCTCTCGAGCGGACATAGGTGTTATCCGAAATTTGTTTTGCGTTTGCCGAATATTTCTGAATTCTCGACATTTTTTATATGAATGAACATAAAGTAACCACTCGCTCGCTCTATTTAATTTTATTTTTGATTAGAAAATTCAAATAATTTCGGATACAATATAATTTTACTCCACTATGAAAAATCCTATTTATTTTTATGCAGTTTAGGTCAAGTTTGGTAAAGGGTTCTGACAGATATCTCTTTTATAAATACCAGAAATCACAAAGGAGAAAGGGATCCAAAAAAAATAAATACGATTTAACCAAAGCTCATAAACAGGAACAATTCCGAATGGTAATTAATTGTTGAAGGAAAAAAAGCGCAAGTTAGTCAACGTTGTGCAAACAGCATACCAAACGTTCTAGTCATTATTTCTCTGACCCAAATATGCATGTGGTTACTCACTCATCTTGTGGATAATTCATTGCGTTTTCTTTCAGTAATAATAAGTTAAGTCGTTTTCTTTAATCCGGTAATTGTGAGTGTTTCAGGTCAAGCATTCTTTAACCAGAATCATGTTTGGTATCACCAAGTCAGATGACCTGATTCTTGTACACTAATATTTCCACTCGTAAGTCCAAGTTTGTGAAATTAGCTAATTAAAAGAACATATTAACATATTTTATTTTATTGATTAATTTCGATCCACATATAACATGAAACATAAACTTAAATTCCGAAAAATTTTATTTTAACTGAAAAAATTTTTTTCTTTGCGAAATTATATATTCAACATTTTTATAAAGCATATATATTTTAGTAAGACAAACAAGAACTCTTGATATTGGTGCACCGAGAGGAAATTCGAAAAATCTATGACTCAAAATGCTCATCTAAAAGCAAAACGTTGCGAAGGTGCACATCAAAATAGTCTAGAAACATTTCCTATCTTTGCCATTCCAATTGTATGTAAAAATATTTATTGATATGATAAATAATAATTGCTTGATGATAAAAAATTAATTTTTCATTTTTGTTTGTTTAATTGGCAGCAATTTTGTAGCTACTGGCCTCTTAATACACTGTCATTGTTTTACATTACCTCGCGTGTTCTTTTTATGTTTATAATCATTCTTGGTTAGGTGGATTAGGGATTAGTTTTACTCTTTATATTATTTTTCTAACTAATTAATTAATTCCCCATGTGACAATAAATTCTATCGATGTATTAGTCCTTAATTTTTTAACATAATACTAATATTGAATAATATTATCACACATCTTTCCTAGTTAAGTTACAAGGATTATTCCATTAACTATTTTTGAACAAAGTGTCCAGGATTTGTGAAATTCACCTATTTGCGGTTAGACCAATGGTCGCCACTAATTTTATTAAATTAGGGGTTGAAGTTCTTGCTACTTTTGTAAAAAAAAAAATGATAAAGAAAATTTTTTTATCACTAATTTTCAAAATTTCACGTTCATGTGATTACTTCTTTCCCTCCTTAATAGCATCGTGTAACTTCTTTGTGACACGATCTTATAATTTTATGTCGCACATCTTTTTGTATGTAGTACATAAAATTTTTTTTTTAAAAATATTTTAGACTTTTTTGACTTTGACTTTTTCACTCTAAACAACGAATTAATTTTGGTTTTAATTCTTTTTTTTTGAAAAAAAAAGTTTACAATTTATCCTCTAATTTGCTTGTACATTATACATTTATCAATTAAAAAAATATGAGCACACACGACAAGGGACAAGCCCAACTTAATGGAAATGGAACTGACAAATTACCTCGCCTACAAATAATTGATGAAAATCAACATTTCACGTAGGCTTCATTTTTTCTTCGATTTATACACTGTGAATTTAATCATGAAATTAAATGTCTTATTTGCTGTTCCGTTTTGTGTAAATAGAAAAGAATTGCCAAATTTTATGAAAGAGGAATGGAATCTAGCAGATTCTGGCTTCAATTATAATATAGTAGCAGTTTTTGGTTCACAGAGTACAGGAAAAAGTACGAATCAAATAATACATGTAATTTCATCATTAATCTATATATTTAAATACAATCTATTTTTTTTTTGTTTGATTATCAAGGTACTTTGTTGAATAGATTATTTGGTACAAGCTTTGATGTCATGAGTGAATCAGCACGTCGTCAAACCACTAAAGGTATTAACGGATTTTTTTTTTTTTTTCAATCAATTAATTAATTAATATTTTATAAACAATAATCAATCATAATCATATTTAATCACACATTTATTTTTATTTATAATAGGTATTTGGATGAGCCGTGGTAAAGATATGAATGTATTAATTATGGATGTTGAGGGTACAGATGGCAGAGAACGTGGTGAAGACCAGGTATAATAATATAAACGCATATTTTATTTATATATACCAATATTAATTTGATTTGCGTACATGCTATGCATCTCTAAGATCCAATAATTTCCAATATATTTAAAATAGGATTTTGAGAGAAAAAGCGCATTGTTTTCAATGGCAACTTCAAATGTCATTATAGTAAATCTTTGGGAACATCAAGTTGGTCTTTATCAAGGTGCTAATATGGGTTTATTAAAAACCGTGTTTGAAGTTAATTTACAATTATTTCAGGCTGCAAGAGGGTAAATATCAATTTAAATTTTATCTCGTACAAAATAAATATATTTATTTTTTGGTTCGTTTTTATTTCCTTAATAGGGGAGAAAAAACATTATTGCTTTTTGTGATTCGTGACCATGTTGGTGCGACCCCTCTAGAAAATTTAGCAAATACATTAACCGCTGATCTGGAAAGGATTTGGGACAGTGTTTCAAAGGTTATCATCATCATCATCATCATCATCATCATCATCATAGTTTAATTTACTTTTTAAAAAGAAAACATACTCACTTTTTCCATTTTAAAAAGCCTGAAGGTTTGGAAAACTGTGAGATCAAAGATTACTTTGACTTTATGTTTACAGCTTTACCGCATAAACTGCTATTACCAGAAAAATTCGACCAAGATGTTATAAAATTAAGAGAAAGGTATTCTTAATACTGTTAGCACTTTTACTTCTACTTCTTATCATCTATTATTTATTAAATGAATTTTTATATATTGAATTTTTTTAGATTTACAAATCCAAATCATAAAGATTCTGTATTTAAATCAAATTATAGTAAACGTGTGCCTGCTGATGGTTTTCATGTTTATGCTGAAGGAATATGGGATCAGATTATGTCCAATAAAGATTTAGATTTGCCAACGCAACAAGAACTCCTTGCTCAATATCGTTGTGATGAAATAGCAACAGTATGTTTTTTTAAAAAAAAAATTTTTTTTTTCACATATTTTAAGCTTGTTTTTTTTAAAAAAAATTTAATCTTTTTTTTTCGATAGGTTGCTTTTGATGCATTTGTGAAAAAAATTAAAGGATTTCGTCAACCTATTGAATCTGGTAAAGTTATTGAAGAATTGGGAACAGAAATGGAGGAAATTAGAAATACAACTATAAGTAAGAGCAAATTTTCTAAATAAATCATACTATGTATTTATACTCGTATTTGCACATTTTTATATTGATATTTTTTTTTATCCATTTAATAGAACAATTTGATAAAGAGGCGTCACGTTATCATAATGAGGTGTATAAACGTAAAAGACAAGAAGTTCTTAACAAAGCCAATTCTCAGCTGCATGTATTTTTCACAGGTCAACTGAAAAATCTATCCAAGAGAGCAGTTACGATTTTCAATTCCATAATTCATGAAAAATTAAAAGGTGAAGGCTATGATTTTGCTGAAGTTGTGTCCAATGCTCGTGAACAAGTTATTGATCAGTTCACAAAGTCCGCAGAAGGTAAATTCTACCAATCTCTTAATCACTATCACTATAATTAGTTACTTAATTATTGGTACATTAATTAATTAATATTTTTTTAATTTATTCATTATAAAATTATTCAGTAATTTTATTGTCTGATACTGATTGGACATTTGATGAAGAATTGAACCAATTAACCGAATCAATTAATGATGTTGCTGCTAAATCACGTGTAGAAGAAACAAAGAAGATGATTAAAGCATTAGAGGTATTATTTATATAATTTATGAAATTTGTAACCTTCGTTGAAAGGTTCATTAGCTCAAAGATATTTTTATTATTCATGTATGATTAGAAATCATTTCAAACGCAAATCAACGAATTTGTCCCATTATATTTCAAAACTCCCGATCAAAACATGTGGCAAAAAATCATTGGAAAATTTCAACAAGTTCTTAATAGTACACAACAACAATTACTAAAACGAGCAAAAAGTATTATATATATTCGTTTGTTGCATTGTGTATGTATTATTTATACTTATATTAATGTTTATACATGTATAATTTTTTCTCAGGTTTTAATGCTACAGAAGAAGAAAATAATGAATCAATCATAAACCTTCGTAAACAATCCTGGTTACAATTACGAAAAAAACTTGAGGAAGAACTTGCAGATAATATGTTTTTATTGAAATTACGTGAAAGGTTTGTGAAAGAAATATTTCAATTAATATTACAAAGTAAAAGTTTTTAATCATCTAATTAAAAATTTACTTCGACTTCAATTTCTAGATTTGAAGAAAAATTTAGATATGATGAAGAGGGTTTACCAAAAGTATGGAAACCTGAAGATGATATCGACTTACATTTCAAAAAAGCTAGAGATGATGTAAATAATGTTTTAATATTTTTCAGTTTTTAAAAAAGAGTATCATTTATTAACCTTTTTTTTAAAAAATTGTCTATTGGAACTGTCTGCAGGCATTGAATTTGATTCCTTTATTTGCTCATATAAAAATTCCTTCAGATATTGAATTAGATATTCCTTCAGATGAGGTAATAATAATAATGTTTTTAATTATACGCGTATATATTTTTTAAATTTTAAATTTAATGTTTATATGTTTTAATAGGAACTTGATTTTGAAGAGTCATTAACTATTCTATCAGAGACAAAAGAACATGATTTAACAGTTCGATTTAAACGGGAATCAGATGCATTCTATCTTGAAGCTAAACGATCAGTCGTAGCGATAACTGCCAAAGTACCTTACTGGATATTATTTATTATTGGTAAGTATAAAATATAAATCCTTTTGAGTTAAAAAAATAATTTATAATTATGACGATAATAATTATTTTCCCGTTACTTTGCTAGTTATACTTGGTTGGAATGAATTCATGGTTATCATAACATCACCATCTTATTTGATATTAACTGGATTTTTTGGAATAATTTTTTATGTTGTTTGGTTATTAAATCTTATTGGAACCGTAGAAACATTCATGCGTATGATTATAAATGAATTTGTTAAGGTAGGAAAAGATAAAATCAAAAACAGTTTAGAAGAAAGTGGCCATCCAATAGTAGCCGAAAAATTAGGCTATATGCTTGGTGATACTAGTGTTGTAACAAAAAAAGAACAATAACTATGAAATAATTGATTATCATAAATCATTTTTTATTATTGACAATCTTCTAAATAACTTTCCAACTTTTTTTGGATCTGTATAAAATTTTTTTATAAAACAAAAAAATCATTTTATTTATTTATTTTTTTTCTTTGGAAATTTCTATAATATTATTATATATATATATTATATATATTATTATTATTAAAATATGTATTAAATTTTTTTTCTTTATTTGTTATTTTTTTTTTGATTTTTTTGTTTAGAACGTTTGTTTTTTTTTTTTATGATAGAAAAAAATTATATAAATAAAAAATATAATATATAAATATTGATTTTTATTATTATTAATTAATATTTTTTTTAATATTGTAAATGCAATAAGAGGAAATTAATATGATTAGTTATAATGATGAATTGTAATAATATGACGATGATGAGAAGAATAGAAGGAAGAAACGTTAATTAATATTAATATATTAATATTGGTTTTTTTTAATAAATTAACTCTCACTGATATTCTTGAATCTTGCTTTTTCTTTATTAACGCGTGAAACAACAAAATCCTTTTTTCTAAAAACGTCTTATTTATAAGATCTAAATCAATTTTGTAGTTAAAATATCCTTTGTCGTTTTGGGTATTTAAAATAGATTTTAAAAATATTGTCGATTTTCACGTTTCATCTATATTGTTTAAATTGATGGATGCTTGTTACTTTCTTATTAACTTTACAATTACCATCAAGGAAATAATGAGGCTTCACTTCTTAGATGGCCATGAAAGGCTGTCAATTCAATTCTCTTTAATTTTTATTATGTGATCGAAACTATGGTTTCGTTTCTACAAATAAGTATTCAAAAGTAAACTATGTTGCACTTTCATTGTCGGTTAATTTTCAAATTGTTTAATTCTGACCATTTCTAAAAATGCTTCTTTCCATCACGTGCGTTCTCTTAATGGTGCATTTTCGTAGAGAACTAAAGTAGCTAAATCAAAATTACAAATATCAAGAATAACCTTGATATGAGCTTGACCCATTGCTTCTTCCTTTTAGGGCCTTTTCCGTGCTTACTAACACCACTCTTATTTAAAGCTCCCAAAGGTTTGGGTTTTCGGTTCATTTTCGATTTGAACACCTCAATTAACAAATGAATTTTATGTTTTCATTGTCCGAATAGAATTTATTAATATTAATCGGGCACCACTCTTATTATTATAATTATTAATTATTATTTTGATTATCCCCCTCTCCGACTAATGATTCGAAATTAATATATATAATAATAATACTAACATTAATAAACGCAAAATGTGTTTAACTTGTCATAAGATTAATATTTATGTAATTAGAACATTTGTATCTGTAATAACAGCACTTATTGTCATATTATATAGCACCCGTGAAAAATGTTGTCGACGATAATAATGTTGTTGCTTTGTTTCAGTAACTTTTAGGCGAATCATAATTAAATTCACATATAATTCATTGAAACACGATTAGTATTCCTATAACACATCTTAAATGCCACTTTGCGGTTAGACACAATAATAAAATTATTTTTTAGGTGCTATTATCACTTGAATCACCATGTTATGGAGACGCAATATATAAACACCTATTCTACATAAAAATCGTACTTGAAAATTAAAGATATGAACTTCCTGCATTTTTACATGGTATTTTCATTATTAAAAATTAAAAATTCATTTTCAACAAGGAAAAAGATATAATATCTTCCTTTGACGGAAGTAGTGGAAGATCATGTTATATATTCATTTATCAATCATTGAACTTATAAATCATCGGCAAATGTGGATAATATTTGTTTTGGAAACAATGTTAATAGTACCGGTTTTTTAGCAGAAAATTAAATGATAACAATAATATTGGTTATTTAGCAGACAATGAAATAGTATATGTAGATAATAATAATATAGAAAGTGGAGCCAGTGTAGAAATAATAATAAAGTAAAAATAACAATATTTTTTACTTCAATAATTCAATTAAACAATCAAATTTTTTATTTAATCATTATTTTTTTTTTACTTAAATCAAGAGGTTTGATTTATGTCAAGGGTTTTTGCTTATGTTAAAGGTTTACTTACATCAAGTTTTTATGTGATAAGAGTGAATGATGATTACTGAAATTTGTTTCTCCTTTTTCACTGCCTAAAAGTTCTTAATATTAATTATTCAATTATAAAAACATGCGATCAAATTTATTTTCAAATAATAATAAAAACAAATTATTAAATTATTAAATAATGAAAAATAATTAATAAATGGTGATTATCTACCCATCGACAATTTACCCAATTTTCCAACTTTAACCTTAATCAACTACTTATTGTTATTATCATTGTAATTAATTAATAAATAATCATATATAAATTAATAGATTTCAATTAATTAACCAACTATTTAATTCCACCTTACTAAAATTATATTTCATAATTTAATAAAGCTGTCATTACTTAAATTCAATTTAGCAAATTCGTCACTTAATATTCTACTTGTATGATATGCTAATGGATGTGATTTGTGTACTTGTTGCAAATCACTACTACCACCAGTAGTATTATAATTAGTATTATTATTGATAATTTCACCTAGTTGATTATCAGCAAAATCCAGAAGCTCTCTGATAGTTGGTCTCTTGGCCGGATCCACATCCCAACACCTTTTCATCATTTGTGCATAGTCATCAGGCATTCCTAGTAATATTGGTGGTCGTAAACCTGCACATATATTAGACATTAAGTCACGATTATGTGCTTTATCATCAAATGGTGGATGACCTGCAAATATTTCCCATATTAACATCCCAACACTATAAACATCAGTTTCTTTTGTTTTTTTTTCCTTTAAATAATCTGGTGCAATATAAGGTACAATTCCATAAATTTTATTTGATGATTTTTCATCAACTGGTCCACATAACCCTAAATCTGTGATATAACAAACACCTCCTTGGAATAATATATTACCACTATGTAAATCACAATGAATTAAATCTTTTTCATGTATAAAATATAATGCTTCACATAAATTATTAAAAATATTAATTCTATCTTTTAATGTTAAATTTGGATGATTTTTTTGTATATAATCTCTTAAATTTCCATTTCGCAGATAATTAAGCACCAATGCATAATTTCCATTTTCTGGGGATTAGTTATACCATGACATTGAACGGGTCTGATTCATTTCGTCAACAATCATTTCGTCAACAATCATTTCGTCGACAATCATTTCGTCGACAATCATTTCGTCGACAATCATTTCGTCGAAAGTTCATTTCGTCAAAAGTTTGTTTCATCGAAAATTATTTCGTCAACAATCACTTCGTCAACAATCACTTCGTCGACAATCACTTCGTCAACAATCACTTCGTCGACAATCACTTCGTCGAAAGTTCATTTCGTCGAAAGTTCATTTTGTCGAAAGTTCATTTTGTCGAAAGTTTGTTTCGCCGAAAGTTCATTTTGTCGAAAGTTCATTTTGTCGAAAGTTCATTTTGTCGAAAGTTCATTTCATCGAAAATTATTTTGTCGACAGTTCATTTCTACAACAATTCATGTTAATTTGCATGTATTATAGTGTTACCAATTATGTTTGAATTAATTGATGATAACAATTGTTTATGCGGATCAGAATGAATAGGTTTACTAACATATTAGTTTAATTAGTGGATAATTTTGGTTTAAAAAGATAATAAATGTTTATTTATTTTATTTAGTCAAGGGTAATTAAAGATTTAGAAGAGAACGGTCATGTGAGCTATGTTTTAACACAAAATTTTAGTCCATGTAATCATTGATTGTCCAATCAAAATCGTGAATTTGATAACGTAAATGAATTATTTATTTATGAGAGTTAATAAAAATATTCGACAAATGGTTCAAAATTAAGAAATTGGAAGAAAGCATGCAACAAACCTTCAAAATAGTCTAATAAATTAAATTGTACTACTCGAAGATGTATTTAAAGGGTTGGTTTTCGACTTGGTCGAAAAACAAACATTCGTTTTGCAATCTTGATTAACATTTACTTTGATCAAACCCGTCTATATAATTATTTGAACAATTGATAATAATAAAAACGTTAATTAAATATATTTTACAAACAGCTTCATAGATCTCGACTACTTTAATACTTACTTCAATCAAACCCGCCTATATAATTATTGATAAACATTCATTTTGCAACCTTGATTAACATTTACTTTGATCAAACCCGCCTATATAATTATTTGAATAATTGATAATAATATAACGTTAATAAATATATTTTACAAACAGCTTCATAGGTCTCGACTACTTTAATACTTACTTCAATCAAACCAGCCTATACAATTATTGAATAATTGATAAACATTCATTTTTCAAACTTCATAGATCTCTATTAACACTCATTTCAATCAAACCCGCCTATATAATTATTTGAATAATTGATAATAATAAAACGTTAATTAAATATTTTACAAACAGCTTCATAGATCTCGACTACTTTAATACTTAACATTTACTTTGATCAAACCCGTCTATATAATTATTTGAATAATTGATAATAATAAAACGTTAATTAAATAATTTTACAAACAGCTTCATAGGTCTCGACTACTTTAATACTTACTTCAATCAAACCAGCCTATACAATTATTGAATAATGATAAACATTCATTTTTCAAACTTCATAGATCTCGATTAACACTCAAACCCGCCTATATAATTATTTGAATAATTAATAAAGCGCTCATTAAATATATTTTACAAACAGATTCATAGATCTTGACTTTTAACACTTATCTTGATACAAGATATTCAATAATTGATCAGTATATTTTACAAACTTGCTTTGGAAGCTTGTATGTCGTCATACATCTTGTATTTAATGGTCTACTTTTCTTTGAATTTTATTTTTTTTTTAGATTACACAACAAAATTATAGAATAAATTTAATCCAATGAAATGGTTGGTATCCCATATTTTGCACAACTTGAAAAAAAGTTGATATATAAGTCATAAAATTGGTTTAATAGTATCGACTGAGGGAAAAGCATGCAATGTGAAGTACCGGGTATAGTCCCCTGTGTCCGGCTCCCTTAGGTGCAATGCCTCACTTTGGACCGGCTGTAAAGTCCCGCGTGTGGGGGAGGTGGAACTGACGCGGGTGGCTCATGTTGGGTGTATTGACCCTTCGTGACATGACCCTCCTTTTTGTTAATTTTTATTATTTATTTTATTTAGTTAATTAAAAGGAAACATTTAAAAAATTAGACAATTTTCGCTAATTGATTTGATTGGTCACATTTGTAATATATGAAGATCCATCAATCAATTATATTATAATTATATAGTAGCAACGACAACAACGAATCATTGTTTTTTGAGGATGATTAAGATCCAGTTGGTATAAGAGTAATCGAAGTAAGTTATAAGGACAAGATCTATGAATAAAATATTCTAACAAACGTTTTATTAATTATTCAAATATTTAATAGTTTATGTAGGAGTAATCGAAGTAAGCTTTAAGGACAAGATCTATGAATGAAATACTCTAACGAACGTTTTATCAATTATTCAAGAGTTGGTATAAGAGTAATCAAAGTAAGTTTTAAGGACAAGATCTATGAATAAAATATTCTAACGAACGTTTTATTAATTATTCAAATTATTCAAATATTTAATAGTTTATGTAGGAGTAATCGAAGTAAGTTTTAAGGACAAGATCTATGAATGAAATATTCTAACGAACGTTTTATCAATTATTCAAGAGTTGGTATAAGAGTAATTGAAGTAAGTTATAAGGACAAGATTTATGAATGAAATATTCTAACGAACATTTTATTAATTATTCAAATATTTAATAGTTTATGTAGGAGTAATCAAAGTAAGCTTTAAGGAAAAAATCTATGAATGAAATACTCTAACAAACGTTTTATCAATTATTCAAGAGTTGGTATAGGAGTAATCGAAGTAAGTTATAAGGACAAGATCTATGAATAAAATATTCTAACAAACGTTTTATTAATTATTCAATGGCTTATGTAGGAGTAATCGAAGTAAGTTTTAAGGACAAGATCTATGAATGAAATATTCTAACGAACGTTTTATTAATTATTCAAGAGTTGGTATAAGAGTAATCGAAGTAAGCTATAAGGACAAGATCTATGAATAAAATATTCTAACAAACGTTTTATTAATTATTCAAATATTTAATAGTTTATGTAGGAGTAATCGAAGTTTTAAGGACAAGATCTATGAAGTTTGCAAAATATTCTAATGAACGTTTATCAACTATTTAATAGTTTGTGTAGGAGTAATCGAAGTAAGCTGATCTATGAACAAAATATACTAACGAAGGTTTTATCAATCATTCAATAGTTTATACAAATTTATCCTTTATTTAACTTATATTTAATAACATCACTATAATCATTTACATATGTATATAGGAAGGAAGAAATGTACTTGACGATCTAAACAAAATGTCGAAGAAATTAGTTTAATAAATTAAATTGTGCTACTTGAAGATGTATTTAAAGGGTTGGTTTTCGACTTGGTCAAAGGACAACTCTCTTTCTAACTCTTCTCTTGACCATATCTCTCGATATAACTTCGAAACTACCTTGATATAACACGAAATGATTGTTGATGAAGTAAACGTGACCAATTTAAGAGACAAATTTATTTAATAAAACAAAAAATGATTTTTTTGAATGTTCTAGTAAATTTTCCATTGTTGTCATATCATCCCGTTGTTGGTTCAACATTACTCAAAGCTTAATTTAGTCGTTTTCTTACGTTAAATATTGCATTATGAAATAATTAATAATTAATAAATATGACTAGAGATGGGCAGATCAATACTATACGTATAGTGATACGTATAGTGCGTATAGTTCTAGAACTATATAGTAGTAAATGTAAATCAATTCCTGTTTAGGTTATCTCCAAATAATAGATGTAATGTTGCACATAAAAATTAATTGAAAATTAAAGTTTATTTAATGCTTAATAGTAAATTAAAGTTTATTTAATATTTAATAGTAAATTAAAATGCTTGCATAATAATGCATTACTTTCTCACGATATATATATTTTAAACTTATTGTAACAATTTACATTTCATCACGAATACAATATATGAATAAAGAAAATAATTAAACATTAATGGCGAACAAATTAATTTTATATTTTAAGTATTTTCGCTAATTATGTTTAGTAATATTCAGATAGATGAGATTATCTGTATTTTCTTGTATTATAAATAAAGAATAACTTCTATTTAAAGTATTTGTTTGTAGTAAAGTGTTTAATTTGTCTTTAACCGGAGGAATTATTTTGCTAATATTAGGATTGATGATTTACTAAAAAAATATTTGGATAATTTTTAAATCTCCCGCAACTCCTCTCCATCTCTCCAATAATAGTATTTTTGATGCTTTCTTTGGTTTTTTTCCATACTCTTGACCAAAGTAATTCTTCACAAATAAATTCTTTACATTTATAATGACTCGTCAAAGTGCAATTTGGCAACATTTTAAACATATTGGTAGTGTTAATGGTTATAAGCAATCACGCGTTGAATGTCTATATTGCAAAAACCCAAAATATCAATGTGCTAGTTCAGTATCTAGATGTGAAAACCATTTACGCATTTGTCCAAATGCCACAATTCAAACTAAAAAAAATTATTTTGGAGAACATTTTGATACTTCAAATACTAGTATACAAATAAATGAAAACATAACTTCTAATAATGCTACATTCATTACATCAAATGCAACAATCACTTCAGATCCAAATGTTGCACCAAGTTCATCCAACAACCGAAGAACCATAAACAGTTTTGTTGACAGAATATCATCCATTGAACAAATAGAAAACGAAAAATCATTTGCTAAATTAATTTTTCAGTGTGGATTGCCATTGTCTCTTTCTGAAATGGAACCATTAAAAAATTGGATTAAAAAAACAAGACCAGCATTAAAATTACCATCAAGAAAAAAAATTTCTACTACATTACTTGATGAAGTGTATCAAGATACAAAAAAACATGTAGAAAAATTTATTAATGATGCTAAGTTTATTTGTCTTATTTGTGATGGATGGTAATAAATTAATTTTCAAATTTTTAATATCATTCCATAATATTGTCATTACCAAAATTTAAATCTAATTTATTTTATTATTTTAGGACGAGTATTGTCCAAGAACATTGGACTAACTTTATTTTAACTACTCCAACTCCAGTATTTATTTCAGCCAAGTTTACTGGGGAAACTAAACAAAATGCTAACAATATTGCTGCAAATATTGATGAAATATTAATTACTCTTGATGAAAAAAAATTATCAGCAGTTATAACTGACAATGCTGCAGTAATGAAATTAACATGGAAGATACTTGCTGAAAAATATCCAAAAATTTTATTTATGGGTTGTTTAGCACATGGATTAAATTTGTTAGCAAGCAATGTTTCAAAATTAGAATGGGCTAAAAATATAATTATTAGTGCAAAATCTATTGTTAAATATTTTAAAAACCACATTATTCCAAATGCAATCCTAAAAAAATATCAACGAGCAACTTATGGGACAAATTATTGCACATTAAAACTTCCTGTTAAAACTAGGTGGGGGTCTGTAGCAACTTGTTTGTCCTCATTAAAAATAAATCAATTGGCTATTAAATTATCATTAACTGAAATTCTAAGAGGCTCAGATATATTTATTGATGAAATGATTAAAAATATTATTCAAAGTGAAGATTTTTGGGAACAAACTACAGAACTTTTGAATATACTTGATGAAATAGTACAAGGTATTATAATTTTTGAAAGTGATGTGCCAAAGCTTTCACAATTTTATGAATGGTATGAATCATTGGAAAATTCTGAAGGTATTTTTTTAAAATTTAGTTTATAAATTTTAAATTTAAATCTTTAAATTAATTCTTAATTTGTTCATTAGTAATAAAAAATTCACTCATGAAAGAAGATATCAATGTGTTAATTGATGAAAGGTGGGAAAAAATGTATAATCCGGTTATGTTAGTTGCTCATTTATTAGATCCAAGATATTTTGGAAGAAGATTACCAGGTGATGGAATGAATGAAATTTCCGAATTTATTAATAAATATTTTCCTGAAGATTCAATTATTATTTATAGTCAGATTATGAGTTATAGAGCAAAAACAGGTTGCTTTAGCAATGTTCTAGCATGGAACACCATAGAAAGCGTTGATCCTATTACTTGGTGGGTTGCAAACTTTGCAGAATCAGCACCTGAATTAACACAGGTTGCACAACGTATTTTAACCATACCAACATCATCTGCTGCATCTGAACGTAACTGGTCAGCATTTGCACATATTCATGACAAAAAAAGAAACCGATTAAGTAATCAAACTGTTTTCAAATTAGTTTATATATATAGCAATTATAAGCTACAAACACCTGCAGATAATAGAAAAAAAATTAAAAAAAAATGCATTGATGAATTAGGTGTAAAAAATAATGTAAATCAATATTATATTGAAAACGAAAGTGATAAGGAAGAAAACATTATTGAAGAAATTGATGAAAGTGCCATTGAAGAAGCTGATGAAACACATGAAAATTTTATTGAAGAAGAAACTGACAATTTGAGTGAGGAATCAGAATTATCTGAAAACAGTTTTGATTTTTATGAATATAATTAATGATTCAATTAAATATATAAATCAAACCTTTTAATATAAAAGTGTAAGCTGAATAAATTAAATAAAGATTTAATTGCTACAATGTTCATGTTTATTGTAATAGCCAAATAATTTAAACAATAGTTTATTTATCAATGATTAATACGTGATATATATGATATATACAGTATATATATAATTTGGTTTGTTACATTTTGAAAATCATCCAATCAAATTTCAAAACTACTATACGTACTATACGCACTATACGTATAGTGTCGTATAGTGTTCAACTATACGCTATTTGCCCATCTCTAGCAGTAACAGTAACAATAGCAGTAGAACAAGAATGAGATGACAGTGGTAGTGGTAGTGGTAATATAGGAATAAGCTCTCGTGTGTGTATATTATATATATTATATATACACATTAAATTTTTTGTTCGCTGTGATCAACGTTACACGTTCCATATAAATCTTGATTTTCCTTAAACTTTTCTAATTTTGGTAAAAACCTAAATTTTATTTTGTCACATTTTATATCCAATAAAATCAAACTTCCACCATGCTCCCAAAATTTAGGACAAGCCAACTATGAAACAAATTTTACTATATAGGTAAACATGGATTCCATGCAATTGATTGTTTTTTTTTATTGCATATTTTAAGTATAATAATATCTTTGTTAAAAAATAAAAAATAAAAAATAAAATTATTGTTTGGTCCTTACCTTGTTCATGAACACCTATTTCAATTATTATAAGAATTTTTTTTAAAAAAAATCTTTTCCACAAAGTACAAGTAACATGGTCGACAAAGGGGTCCCAATTTTTCTAGAACAGGGCCCACATTGAATAGATCCTCTTTCTTCAGTAAAAGAAAGCTCGAACCTGATATCTTTTGGCTTAGCCGTTTTGAGTTTATATAAACTCAAAACGGCTTAAATTAGACTATAATAGACTCAGGTGTGACGTGAGTTTCGCATTTGCCTCGTCATTCGAGTGACGTACGTTTTGCATTTGCCTCGTCAAAGATGAGACGTTTATAGTCTACTTATCGGATGACGTGTGATTTGCATTTGCCTCGTCATTCGAGTGATGACAAAAATTCGAATGCGTCGTCATTCGAGACTGTGGCTAATTTTTGTATATCAAATTGGTGATCCCGGGAGATTTAAAATACAAGGTACTCAGTGAGGTAGGTTATGAAGGAGTGACGTGTGTTTTGCATTTGCCTCGTCAAAGATGGGGTGTTTATAGTCCGCTTATCGAATAACGTACATTTTGCATTTGCCTTGTCAGAGATGGGATGATTATAGTCTGCTTATCAGAGATTACAAAATTCAAGTCACTTGACCAATAATATATCCCTTGGTGTGACTTGTAGATTGCAAAACTCAAGTCATGTTACATACCCTTTAGAAAGTCAAATTCGATATTGATAATGTTTTAACCACTTATATAAATTTTCGTATATCAGCTTAGTGTTTCTGATCGATTTCCATTGAAAAGAAATATCTGAATTAATGCCGAATTTTTTTGTCACAAGTTGTCACGAGCTGTCTCTAGTGGTTTGCAGGTACTTGTGACAGAACTTGTGACAGTTGTTTGAGAGTTTTGAGCCTTTTCGTTTCTCTCTTGATTACTTATTTATATCTGTCACAAGTTACTTAAGTAAAATAGTAGAATTCTAAGGAAAAAAAAAACTTTCCTATGGTATACCTATAAGATATATACCTGATACCAACCCATGTTATATGTACTATATCTAATTGGAAAGCAATGGGCTTCGCCCTTACCCGATATATACCTATGATATATACCTATGATATATTCCCGATACCTACATATGTTATATGCGCATATACCTCAATATATACCTATGTTATATACCCAATATGTATACCTACCTTTGATACATATACATATGGTGTACCCATAGAAAAAAAAAATAAGGTAGGAATCGAAAAATCAACCTAAGTAACTTGTGACAGTTGTGACAGTTATCGAGAACAGTTTTTTTCGAACTCAGACTCTCAAGAACACACCTTTCTACTGATTTTTTTACTTGTGACGAACTCGTGACAACTTGTGACAGCCAATATCACTATGTATTTTCTCCAAGTGCTTCCGATTTTTGTGCCATCTTCTCCAGCTTCTTCTGTTGATTATACTCTCTTCTACGATGTTTCTGTGCATGGGGATCACAATAACCATAATCGGAATAAGTTAACTTAACACAACCATATTCTTTACAAGGGTAACGAATAGGTGAATCCCGGTGAACTTTGCACCCATTGGGATGGTAACATGGCCGATTACAGACTTCTCCAGTTCTAAGGATATAGGGACAACGATAAAATGCCATTCTTTTTGATGTTTATCTTGATTGAGTATATAATATGTACTGATCAATATTCTTTAGAATTAATTTTCATTTTGAACTTTTTAATTCCGAATATTATACTTTCAGAAAAAACATGAGTACCCAAAGTGAACATAGCATGCCTATTGTACCTGTATCATCCGATATACCAACTGTGGAAAACATCAATCGCACACCAACAGAGGCGGAAGTATCACTTTCTCGACCAGAGAGCCCAGAAATTGCTGAAAATTTTGAGCCAGAGTTAGAGGCAGAAAATAATGGGGCATTCTACCACCGGGGGTTTAAAGCTTTTCCTCAATCACAGATTTCGGAAAGTAAAAAAGTAAGCGAAGTATATCGATACAATGGGAGAGAGTATTTACCAGTCCATCCAAGTCGCAATATGATAATTACAGAAAATGATGACTACGGATCAACGGCAACTATTAAACGGGCTTTAGTCAATGGAGAAGATATACCTTTTATGCCAATAGACATTGAAGAATATAATGAATATATAAATAATATCCCACATTACGTTTTACGTATTTATGGTTATCTCGTTGATGGTCAAAAAGCTGTAGTAACTATTTCCGGTATAAAAGTTTTCTTTGATATTCACGTCCCTGATAATAAAAATATTGACGTATTTGAGATCGAAATAAAAGATATTCTCGCCAATGGAAAAGATGAAAGGGGGGTCGTAGATATGACCAACCTCCGGACAGAACATATAAAAGCATTTCCAATCAGTAGATATTATAAAGAACCAAAACCTCATATTCGCATCGTTACAACTGATATTAAGCAAAGATCAATCGCTCTTACAATTATTTTAAATTACAATTTAGAAATCGCCGACGAGCACAAACTGGAAACCGCCTCAGATGATTTGAGAGCATATTACCGAAAAGTTGCTCGAGAATATAGGATACCACTCTCTGGATGGGCTTTATTAACCAAATATGAATATAATAATGGCAGGATGCCTTATAGTGTTCGTTCTCCACTTTGTGAACACGCTTTCTATGTATCTATTAATAATTATCATTCTGTAGAGGATCCTA